GGGGGGGGGGGGGGGGGGGGAGCCGGGCCGGGCGGAACCATGCGGAGGCGCTGGTAGGGGGGCGCGGGGAGGGGGTCGGTCGGGTCCGCCATGGCCGCGAACTGCGCGGGGGCCGCGGGGACGGCGGCGGGAGCCGTGGCCGCGGTGGGCTCGGCCCTCAGCGCCAGCAAGACCAAGACCAAGAAGAAACACTTCGTGTGCCAGAAGGTGAAGCTGTTCCGGGCCTCGGAGCCGCTGCTCAGCGTCCTTATGTGGGGGGCGAACCACACGGTGAGAGCGGGCGGCGCGGGCCCCCACCCCACCCCAAACCCCCGCCCCTCAGAGCCGGGAGCGGCCCCTCATTGCCCCCGGGAGCGGGGCCTCGTCCCCCTCAGCCCCATCAGCCCCGGCCCTGCCCCTCAGCAGTGCCCGACCCCTTCAGATCGCTCCCTCGGCTCCCCCTCAGGCTGGGCCTTTCCCCTCCCTCCCTCATCCCCGCTCAATCCCAGCCTTCCCTCGCTGGCCATCCCATCCCAGGTTCGGGGCTCTGTGATCCCTCTCTGCTGGCTCCATCGCCCCAGGCAGCCGCAGGTCGGGCTGTCCCCGTGTCCCCACACCCCTGGCACCTTTTCCCGGCATGGGGCAGGGATACTGATGCTTTTTTGGGTGATGTCGCGGTGACAATCCCCGCTCTGGCTCTGAGGGGGCCCTGAGGACACGGATTTGGTACCCCCAGCCCTGTCCCCACGTTTCCAGCCGGGACTGTCCCTCTGGCTGTCCCAGGGAGGGATTCCCCGTGTCACAGCCCGGAGGGGACAGTGCTGTGCCTCACTTGCACAATGTGTCTCCCATCTCCATCCCCTAAAAATGAAGGCTTTGGCCCCGGGTTTGTCCCCTTGGATTGCAGGACTCGGGCCGTGCGTGTCCTCTTGGCCTCAGTTCCTCTGGGAGCAGGTTGTGAGAGGGTCCCTTGGGAATGTCTGTGATGGCTCAGCTCTGATCCTCCTCCTTTGCTTATTCCTGAGGCCATCCCTGTGTTTGCTCTGGAAATTTCTGCTCAGTTTATGATGGCAGGCACGAGGATTGATCCTCGGATGTGGGTGCTGGGTGCTGTTCTTGGTGGCCAAAGAACCCAGAAGCCTCATCCCTTCCTCAATTAATCCACTTTTAGTGCTCAGACACACCTATTTCTCCAGTGGATTAGTGGACGTTTCCTAGAGAGTGAAAGGGATTCGGGCTCATTTGTTTTTTTCCAAAACAAAAACACACCAAGAATTTTTTTTTTAAAAAAAAAAAAAGTCCTCCTTACATTCCTGGCCTGCCTGGCTGGAGTGAAAGCTTCCAAATGTGGTTCAGCACCGTGCTGGCTTTGAGGCAAAGGATGTTCCAAGTGCTGCCAGCCTTGCCCAGGAAGCAGGATAATGAGTTTAATCAGCCTTTGATCAGTGGTGCCATTAGCAGCCCTGAAGAAATGGAAATTGTGGGATTTTTCCGAGTTTCATTCGAGGCCTCATAGGGACGGTTGTTGCTTGCTGGCAATTGGCCTTTTTTGGGGGTTTTGTGGGGTTTTTTTTTGGTGTTTTTCTTTGTTGTAGCTGTCTGGGCAGTAGGAGCCTGGCAGGAATTTGAGGCCCTGGATCAGGATAGAGGAACTTTGGGAGCACTTGGCTGTGAGATATTTGGGCAAAGGGAGGAAGGCGAGCTGACACTAAGCTGGTAATGAGATTATATCGGATGCGTATTAGGAAGAAATTGCTGCCAGGAAGGAGCTGAGAGGCTGGGAAAGGGGGTGAGAAAAGTTCAGCTGTGACCTCCTGACCTTTGGAAAGGCGTTTAGGATTTCCCAGTAAATCCCTCCACCTCTCTGCCACATTGGGTGAGGCTTTGGTGGCTCCAGGAGCAGCTGCTCCTCCTGTGGCTGGGAGGTGATCCCGGTGCCCTGCTCAGGTGGGAATTGGAATTACGTGCCTCCAGCAGATGCCTTTGGAAGTAATTTTGGGAATACCTTTGAGCTTTGTTGGAAATCTTTTTGGTGGGGGGGTTGTTTAATGTTTGGCTGCGTTGGACAAGGAGGGGTGGGTGAGGAGGCTCTGCTGTTGTCCATGGAGTTCTGCCCTGGGATCCTTGCAGTGGGAGGAGGGGAAAACTCAGCACAAGCCCAGGGCTGTGCCAGGAAGATCCTGTCAGAATTGTTTGGATCTGGGATGAACTTTTTCACAGACAAATCAAACAAACAACCATTTTGTGCAACGTGCTGCAGAAATCCCCGTGGGTCCCAGTCTGGAACAGCCTTAAAGAGCCTGCTGAGCACAGGCAGGGCTGGCTCTGGGGAGCATCAGGAGCACCCCAAGAGCGGGAGCTGCTTGCTGGAACACCACTTTGGAACGTTTAAACAGCAGGTCCTGGTGGTCCCAGCCAGGCTTGGGATTTGGATCGGGGTGGGGCCGGTGTGAGCGGGGCCAAATGGGGGTGGTATGACTCAAACAATTTGAATTTTGGACCAGAAACGCCATGGAGGGGAGGGGAGAGCTCGTGTGAAAGTGGAGCCACCGAGGCTCAGCCTCCATTTGCGAGTTCTCTGTCAGACCCTGAATCCAGCAGAGGTGGGGACGGCTCCTGGGGAAGCTTCTGCCATTGTCATGGCACTGGGAGAGGAGCTGCAGCTCCTGGGGGTTGTGGTGCCCCGGCTCTGCTGCTCCAGGTGTGTTTTCCATGCCCTGCATGGATCCACGTGCACGGGATGGGAAAGTTGGGATGGTTCTGGACAGGAGCAGCCGCCTGCCAGGCAGAGAGAGAGAGATGAGCACAGTGTTGTGTGATGCTCTGGGAACCATGGAAACGGTTGTAAGGTGCTGCTGATGGCAGGCTCCGGGATCCCGGGGTTTGATCCCAGATTTACAGATCCCAAATTGCCGCTTCCTCAGCTGGGAAAGATTCCAGCGGCTCTGGAAAGCAGGGGGAAGGCACAAACATCCTGTTTTTATGGGAATGGGGCGATCTTTCGGCCGCGTGGATCTTGCCTGAGGCTTCTCCAGAGGCTCAGATTCCTGGCTGGAGCAGCAGCCATCTCCCAGGCCCTCAGGAGCGGTGCCAGCACAGAGCACAGCTCGTTAGTATTCCAGGGAAACGGCGGCGCTGGGAATGGCAGCACGGCGCTCCCCGCTCCGCAGCCCTGCCTGCCAGAGCAGCATCTGCCACATATCAAACGCTCACATCCCAGAAATTGCTCCTGGCACGCTGGGAACAGCCTGGATCTGGCCCTTCCCAGCCCAGGGAAGGTCTAATTGACCTCTGGAGAGAGCAGCATATGGCCACGGCCGTGCCAGCCCCTGGAATGAGTGAGGGCCTGGCTCCCAACCCGCCCAGCCTGGAGCTCCTGTGCAAATCCACCGTCCAGGAGCCTTTTCCTCTTCAAATCCATGATCCAGGAACCTTTTCCTCTTCAAATCCACATTCCAGGAGCCTTTTCCTCTTCAAATCCACTATCCAGGAGCCTTTTCCCCTTCAAATCTGCATTCCAGGAGCCTTTTCCCCTTCAAATCTGCGATCCAGGAGCCTTTTCCCATTCAAACCCACATTCCAGGAAACCTTTTCCCATTCAAATCCACCATCCAGGAGCCCTTTTCCCATCCAAGTCCATGATCCAGGAGCCTTTTCCCGTTCAAATCCACATTCCACAAGCCTTTTCCTCTTCAAATCCATGATCAAGGAGCCTTTTCCTGTTCAAATCTGCATTGCAGGAGCCTTTTCCCATTCAAATCCACATT